CCCCCCTCTCGGCCCCTCCCTCCCTCCCTGCCCACGCTTGCAGGGAGATTCGCGAGAATCTCGCCTCCGAAATCGCCGCCCTGCGCGAGAAGCATGGCGTGGTCCCGGGCCTGGCTGTCATCCAGGTCGGCTACCGTGGCGACTCAACCACCTATGTCCGCATGAAGCAGAAGGTCGCCGTTGAGGTGCGTCTGTGGGAGACACGGCCAGGCGCATGCTCGGCCGGCATTTGGCGCGCATCTAGCCCCCACGCATGCCTCCATCTCCTCCTCCGCCCCCCCCCCCCTCGCTTCTAACGCCCCCCTCCTGGCCCTCGTCCCCTCTTCTCTCCTTCGCCCCGCGCTCTCCGTCTCCCCTTCCGATGCATCAGCTCGGCATGGACTTCACGCTCAAGCAGTTCCCCGAGGATATCCACCGCGCGCAGGTACGCGCACATTCCCGGCTTTGGGCGCCTCCGCCATACTCGCCCGCTTCCCTCTCCCCCCCCCCCCCTAACACCACACGACCATGCACCTTGCCGCATTCTGCGCCCCTGCCGCCAGCTCCTCGCCGAGATTGAGCGCTTCAACGCCGACCCCAAGGTCCATGGCATTCTGGTGCAGCTTCCCCTGCCGGCCCACCTGGACGAGCGCTCCATCACCCAGGCCGTTTCCATCCAGAAGGATGTCGATGGGTGCGTGCAGGCGCCTGCCCTTTCCCCTCTCTCTCTCTCTCTCCCCCCCCTGCTCATTATGATTTCCCCTCCTCTGCCCATAGATCCACACTCACCGGTCCTCGCCCCCTGCCGGCCCTCCCCCTGCGGTCAGCTTCCATGTGTCCAACGTCGGCAAGCTTGCCCTTCGCGGGGAGACCCCGCTCTTCGTCCCCTGCACGCCGCAGGCTTGCATGGAGCTGCTGAAGCGCTCTGGCGTCCAGATCGCCGGCAAGCACGCCGTCGTCATTGGCCGCAGTAACATCGTTGTATGTTGCCTCGCTCCCCCCCCCCCCCCTGCGTGCACCCCATGCGATGGGTCTGGCTTCGGCCTCGCCCTGCCTCGCCGCCCGATGCCGGCCCCGCCCTGACAGCCCCCCGTCGTCTGCTGCTCACCCCCCTGCCCCCCCCCCCTTCCCCGCCCTCTTGCGCCTCCCACCGCAGGGCCACCCCGTGGCGGAGCTCCTGCTCAAGGCCAACGCCACTGTCACGGTGTGCCACTCGCAGACCCAGAACATCGCGGATGTTGTGCGCACCGGCGACATCGTTGTCGCGGCCATCGGCCAGCCGGCGTTCGTGCGTGGCGACTGGCTCAAGCCCGGCGCTGTGGTCATCGATGTCGGCATCAACACCTCCCCCCGTGCGTCGGTGCCTCGCCTCCGGGCGGGGCACGAGAAGAGGCAGAATACTCCTGCTTCTGCTCCTCCTCCTCCTCCTCCTCCTCCCCTGCCATGACCCTGTGCTCACCTGCATGCCGCACTGTGCTCCGGCCGTTGCTTATCCCCCCCCCCTCCCCCTCGGCCCGATCGCGCAGACCCTGAGAAGCCTGGCGCCATGGTGCTCAAGGGTGATGTCAACTTCGAGGAGGCCCTCCCCGTGGTGTCGGCCATCACCCCGGTGCCGGGTGGTGTCGGCCCGATGACCATTGCCATGCTCATGCAGAACACCGTGGCCGTGCGTGCCATGCTCCTCCCCTCCCGGCTGCCCTTTCCTCCCGCCAACTCCCCGGGGCCCCGTTCCCTCGGCCTGCCCCTCTCCGGCGCTGGCCATCTGCCATGCGACGCCGGTCTTTTCGCGGGTTCTGACACGCCCACCTCGCCCACAGAGCGCCCAGCGCTCGGTTAGCAGCTCCCTGCCGGCCATGCACCTCCTCCCGCTGGACATCCAGGACCCGGTGCCTTCGGACATTGCCATCTCCCGCGCCCAAACCCCCAAGCACATGCGCGTTGTCTGCGAGGAGCTCGGCATCCACGAGTCCGAGGTGCGTATGCCAGGCATCTGACGGCCAGCTGCCGCTGCTGGGGCCCTCCGATTGCCCGGGTCTTTGGGGGGGTCCCAACCCGCGACTGACCGCCCCCCCCCCCGCCCCCTTCCCAGTTCGACCTGTACGGCAAGTACAAGGCCAAGGTGTCCCTCTCGATCCTGGACCGCCTGGCCAACCGCGAGAATGGCAACTACGTTGTCGTCGCCGGCATCACCCCCACCCCCCTGGGCGAGGGCAAGTCCACCACCACCCTCGGCCTGGCCCAGGCTCTGGGGGCTGAGCTCGGCCGCATGTGCTTCGCCAACATCCGCCAGCCCTCCCAGGGCCCGACCTTCGGCATCAAGGGCGGCGCCGCCGGCGGCGGCTATGCCCAGGTCATCCCCATGGAGGACTTCAACCTGCACCTGACCGGTGACATCCACGCCGTCACGGCCGCGAACAACCTTCTCGGTGCGTGCCCCGGCGCCCGGAGGAGAGGCACCTGTGGTCCCCGTGCTGACTGTTGGGAATGCCTCCCATTTCTCCTGCTGAGTCACCGGTCACGAGGCTCCTCGCATTTCTAACTCTCTCTCTCTCTCTCT